CTTGATCTACACAATTTTTTAAGCTTTGAATTTTATAATTAAAAATGAAAATGAATTTGCAGACCATTATAAAGATTTTTGGTACTAAAAACAACACCTTTCAACACTATTTTAAGGTGCACATTTTCTTATCGTTTAGGGCTTTAGCCTTATACAAACCCCACCTTTTTTTAAATATCTATAAAACAAAGAGATACTAAAGTTATATACTCAATAAATCTTTTATATTAAATATGTATCACTCCAGCATCTCGTTCGATGCAGTGCATGGAGATTTACAAGATGCCAGAAGGTCTCCTACGCATTGCTTTGCTTTAACGATCGAATGATACGTTTCACCAATTCATTTTACACCATTTAAGGGCTACGGGATACTTGGGAATATATTATATGTGAAATTTATTACTAGCGTAATATATTATTTGTTTTGGTAGCGTAATACATTACTGCATGCAAATAGATTCTTACTGGTTGGCTATGTCTAGAAGAAATATGGGAAATGCATTACAAAATTTTTTTTTTTTTTTTTTAGCTTTATACCCCAAATATGGTTGAGCGTATAATTCCTATTAGTATATAGTTTTTTTTTCTTTTTTGGCTTTATACCCAAAACATGGTTAAGCGAATAATTCCGACTAGTATGTAGCTTAAACTTTAACCCTATTATTATGTAGCTTAAACTTTATAATTGCATCAGGCATATGACCTTTTGTATGCCTTTTGCATCTTGACTTGGAATCACATGTTTTCAAGATGTTAACACTTTGGAATAACATACTTTTATTATGATAGGCCATCATATTTTTTATGTTTTATTTTTGTTGTGCTAAAGCCTTTCGATCATCCCTCTCCAAAAAACTTCCATGGATAAATTCAAAAAAAGAAAAAAGGTTTAGAGATATTTGTCTAGTAACCTAGAAGGCTTTATGACTAAATGAGAGGTATTGGAGGAGAAATTATGTTGGTGCATTAGAAGAGATTGCAGAGGAAAATTAATTTTAAAAAGTTCTAGAAGAAAAAAAAAAAAAAAAACAATTTAAGGACACTGATTTGATGAATCTCTGAGAGTGAACTCAAGTATTTCGAATTTATCAGCAAAAAAGAAAAAATAAAGCCAAAAAATGATTTTAACTCAGAATTCAAATTCGTTTATTTTTTGGAACACTATATTGTAGTTGCAGAACCCAAAAATAAAATATTTGATATCTAGAAATAAACAATAACTACAACTATGGTTGTAAAAATGGGACTGCCGGGTTTTAGCTGCTAGTTGAAGAAGATTTAGCTACTAG